TCCATTGCTGTGACAAAACACTCTGACCAATACCAACTTGGGGAGGAAAGACTTTATTTGGCTTCTATCTCCTGGGCCACAGTTCATCAGGGAGCCCAAGGTAGAAAGTCAGGGCAGGAACCTGGAGGCAGGAGCTAGAGCACAGGCCATGGAGGAATGCTGCTTACTGGCTTGCTCCCCTGGCCCATGCTCAGACTGCTTTCTTTTTTAAATTATTTATTTAATAACCACATACTTAGAGGAAGCATTTCATTACATCAGCATTGACATATTCAATAACAATTTTCTGGGCTAGGCTGCATCTCTTACAAAATTGACTACACATTTTTAGGTTTACAGCTGAATTATTACAGTTATACAATATTTTACTCAGTGTAAACCCTATAAGACATAAAATTAAATGAGGTTTTAACCTTTAAAAAAGATCTCCATTTCATTATTAAAATACAGACTTTCATGCAGAAAAGTTCACTTTTAATGCAATTGACATTAAGGTGTTTGCACATGCGTTTCTAATCTCTAGATATCTGATTATTACTAGTCACAGTTGGTTATTTTCTGAGCTCCTTGGCATCTGAGCATGGATATAAAGTCATCAGGTAGATTTCAATGATAATGTTTTTCACATATAATAATTATTAAGGAGCAAATATTTATGCTTTGTAGAATTATTATTTTTTAATCATTATACTTTAAATTTTTTTATTAACTACATGATTGGAAGCTTTTCACTATAGCTTTAACATATTCAGTAACACACTCCAGAGCAACAGTACATCTCTTTCACAAGTGGGTGCAAGTTTCTAGGTTCACAGTTGAATTAGTTCAGTTATACAATATTGAACTCAGTATAAGCCCTGTAAGACATAAAATTGGATGAGTTTTTGACCTCTAAAAAAGATTTCCATTTCATTTTAGAATATATTGTTCCTTACAGACAGACTCGTTATTTTTGCTACTAACACTGAGATGTTGGCGCTTGCATCTCTAATCTGTATGTATCTGATTATTAGTAGTCATAATCGGTTGCACTTGGATCCTTGGTGCCTGTGTATGTCTATAAAGTCATCGGGTAGATTTCAATGGTAATGTTTATCACCTCTACTAATTAGCATGACATAAATTTCCATACTTCCTGCTCAAATATAATACATTTTTTAAAAGTTTGTTGATTTTTTGGGGGGTGTGTATATCACACAGAACATCCCAAACCATCTCTTTTGACTATACACCCACTTCCCAGATAGCACCCTCCCATAGCCTCCCTCCCCCAACTAGAGCCCTTACACTCTGATATCCCTGCTACTGTCTGCTGTGTTGTCGGCACCCCCAGCCATTCCCCGCTACTTGCCCTTCTGGTGAATCTAGTCAGCCTATCTAGAGGTCTTTGTTTTAGGAGGGTCAGCTTTTCCTCATGTAGCAGTAATCAGTTGTCAATATTCCTTTAGATAAGATTGGGGTCTAGTGTTCATTTTTCCAGTTCTATGCTGGGTTACTATCTGGGAGTCCCTTTGGCCTCCCTGGCCAAGAAGTCAAAAGAAGGTATAGCCTGCTTACTTATACATACAGAACCACCTGCCCAGGGTGGCACCACCCGCAGTGGGCTGGGCCCTCCCACATCACTCAAAAATCAGGAAAATACCCCACAGACATCACCACAGGCCAGTCCAATGGAGGCAGTTCTCCGATTAGTTGACAAGTAAAGCTATACAGCAAAATTAACCCCTTGCCAACTTGACACAAACAGGTCACTATTAAACCATAACCTTTCCAAGTCTTATCCCCAAGATATGATGCTAAGAATATCACAACATAAGACAGTACAACCTTAAAAGTTCCACAGTCTTTAAAAAATACAAACACTTAAAAGTCCACAGTCTCTTTTAAAAGTCTCTTAACTGTGGGCTCCCACAAAATCCAAAACAAGTACTATTTTATTTCAAAAGGGAAGAATTGGGCACACCTAAGCAAATCCTAAGTCCAGCAAAGTATCACAAACCTGGATATCTGGGATTCACTCATGAGCTTCTGCGCTCCAAAGGGTTTTGACACCTCCGCTTCTCTGACTCGGCCGTCTCACAGGTCCAGACCAGACCCATTCCACACCTGCTGTTGCCTTTGGTGATCATTCCATGGTCCTGGCAACTCTAAAACGTTGTGGTCTCCACTGAAACTGAGGCTGCACCTTCACTGGTTGGCTCTTCCGGCCTTTCAGGGTGAAAAGCCTCAGATTCTCTCCAGGACCTCTTCAATCCTGGGGGACTTTACTGCAACTGAGAGTGAACTTTCACAAATGGCCTTTCCTAACCTGTAAGGGTGTCAAATTTCAAGTCATTAGATTGGATACATTCCAAAAAAGTGACACAAAACTTAGTTTTTTAATATTAATATCCAAACCACTATAAATGATAGTTGACAAGGTAGAAATACCATTTTTAAATTTCTAAGTTTTAAAGTTATAAAATTAACAGTAGCAGAGTGGATTTGGACTGAGAAAAATAAAATCTTAAATGCCTGCACTGTATCAATTTAAACTTCTAATGAAAAAAAATTAAAAAATGAGATGTATAACTTAAAATGTGTAAGAGGGAACATCTTCATCAATCTGAAATTTCCCTTTCTTTGTTTTTCTTTCAGTTGTTCCCTCTGCTTTTACCTTTTTTTCCTTTTGACTTACCTCAAAAAACTATCAGTAGCTGTGGTGCATATTGGTTAACATTGCTATTAATATCATCCGCACACTTAAATAAATTACTAACCCACACAAGATACGTACTGAGTTTGTGTTAGAAGATAGGGCAGCATGGAATAGGATGTTGGTAGAATACTGTAAGAACGCACTGTGTGTCCTTCATGTATGCCCAATATATTTCTAGTCTTCAGTAGACATCATTGTTTATAAGATACATAGCCAATTTAAAAGCAGCACTGGGAAATATGTCATCATGTATGCCAATAATTGTCTACATAAACTGTAAAATACACTTGACTTTATAAATGATAAAAAATATAAATGGGACTTAGGATTTAAGAAATAAAAGTGTTTGTTATCTAAAAAAATGTGGGTCAGTGTCTTTGCAAAATGTTGGTTATTTAATGGCTTCAGAAGAAACTAAGTAGCATCATAACGCATTCATTTACCTTTTTCTTTCCAATTCCTAGGGACGGCTGGCAGCTGCCTTCGTCGATTCAGTACCATGCCTTTCATGTTCTGCAACATTAATAATGTTTGTAACTTTGCTTCAAGAAATGACTATTCTTACTGGCTCTCCACCCCAGAGCCCATGCCAATGAGCATGGAACCCCTGAAGGGCCAGAGTATCCAGCCGTTTATTAGTCGGTGAGGCACCGTTTTAGCGTTGACTTTCACCAATCCCTGCTTAGTGTGGCTAGTTAGAAATCAATTTTAAATTAATAATGTGTGATGTTCATTCTAAATTAAGCACACAGGGTGAATTTTAAAATTCAATTTGCTATTCAATTTGCTAATTAGTTTGATCTATGTTTACTGGGGAATCAACTTTTGACCAGGTCCTATGACAGACATATTATATTATGTGAGATCCCATAGTGTAATCATTACACTAATGTGATGTTCAACTATTTTGGGCTAAGCACAAGAGAAAGAATATTTAATTCTAACTTGAGAAATCTGGGGCTATCTGTCTCAAAAAACATGTTTTGAACTGCTGGGTCCTTGATATATTGAAAAAAACAGACATACATGTACTTATAAGAGAAAAGACAAACTAAGCAGAGAAAATGAGAATGGGTAGTAGATTAATGTGTCTATCTAGAATGTAGTATATAAAGGTTCTCCATAGGGAGAAAAAATAGAACATTATCTTGGATTGTGATGGTAGAATGCTTTTAGAGCTGAATTATAGCTTGAAGTTTATTTGCTATGTTCTAAGAAGTGCCACCATCCTGCCTCCCAAACAATTTTTTTTGAAGTAAAGTTCAGGGAAGATTGCAGAGTCACCAGTGTACAGCATGAGTTGCAGAGGCATAGTCCTGGGGTAAAGAGACCAGTTCCATTGAATATTATTGCTGGATTAGATCTCACAGTGGGAGACATGTATCACATTATTGGGATAGATAGAAATTGGCAGGTAAAGTAATAGCTGAGATTTGGCACTCTCTTAAAGTAACTAAGAGAGGCTGGTACCATTAATAGAGATTTCCTGGAGATTGGCCGCTTTGGGACACTAATTTAACTCAATCTCCTGGGAATATTGGATATTGTTACTTTTATTCTGATCTACACCCAAGGTTCTAGCAGTAATAAGGATGAGTCATTACAAAGTATAATTTCTTTATTTCTTTGACATTGAATAAAAAGATGAAACCTAGCTCAGACTTAGTAACAAATTCATGGTTCCCTTTGTACTACATTTGCCTAAACCCATTGTGTGTGTGTGTGTGTGTGTGTGTGTGTGTGTGATTCAAGTGTATGTGAGAGAGGTTTTTTGTTCAGTTTCAACTTTGTGGAGTAGAAAATTCTTTAGATATAGTTTGCATTACGAAGCTAAGTTGTGCTAAATTATCCATCATAATTAAAGATGTTCTCCCATGTTCTTTATTAAAATTTTGGTAGACTCAACAATATTCAGGCTATGGCTGTTTATTAATTTTATAAATTTTAAGCACATCTCCTACTCCCTGGGTACATGCCCAACCACTCTGGATCTGTTGCACCTACCCAAATATGGCCAAATGTTTAAAACATGTCCTTTGGAGCAAGCATAATGGGTAGGGGTTAAGAAAGTGCTTCTTGTTTTTTCCAGGGTACTAGACATTGATCTTGCCACATCTATAGCATTGCTAAATGTCTACTCTCCAGTTGGGTGCTTTGACAGCAAGTAGAACGTATAGCACACTAAGCCAAACTCCTACAGCAATTATGGCATTGACTATGGCTAGTATGAATACAAATTTAAGGCACAATACACAATGAAAATACAATAGCTGGGGTTCTGAAATATCTTGAAAAAGTTTGTAGTTTTAGCTCATAATTGTATTAGACATGTTGGAAGACAGGGCCTAGGTTAAAACAATTCTCAAAGTGCATTTTTTTTCTGCGCATTGACAATAGCTTCCAGGGTCTCCATAATATGAAGGCTTGCAAAGAAGAATGGTTGCTATTTCCTATGTACCCCCTTTATAAATCATGTTCTTTCTTTTCTTTACCAGATGTTCAGTATGTGAAGCTCCAGCTGTGGTGATTGCTGTACACAGTCAGACAATCCAGATTCCACATTGTCCTCAGGGGTGGGACTCTCTGTGGATTGGTTATTCCTTCATGATGGTATGAAACACGCATCTCTGCCTTTGTCATCATGGCTGACCTTCCATCATATGTACAGTTCTCCACAGTTTGAGACACCACTGTCACTTGTATAGTAATAACAAGCTTGAATCTTAAATAGCTTCTCTCCAAGTAGTGTTTTCTTCTGCCCATGTTTTCTACAATATATTTTAATAATATGTTATTGCTTTTGCTAACTGCCCTTGATGTGGATGCTGTTCTCTTAGCCCTAGTGCCCTTTATTTGACTTGGATTTGTAGCCATGTTGGATGCACATGGGCTATGCACTAAAGTATTATAGCGTATAAGTCTTGTGGTACTTTTTCATGTCTTTTCTAGCATACAAGTGCGGGAGCGGAAGGCTCAGGCCAAGCCCTGGCTTCTCCTGGTTCCTGTTTAGAAGAGTTTCGTTCTGCTCCCTTCATTGAATGCCATGGACGGGGAACCTGTAACTACTATGCCAATTCCTATAGCTTTTGGCTGGCCACTGTTGATATGCCAGACATGTTCAGGTAAGTTGCTTATGGCTTTAGGTCAGGCCTAAAGTCTTCTTTGTAGATAGTGGCAAGAGAAAGACAATGTATGACTTATCCCCAGTAAATTTTAAGAATTTGTCAGACTATGTCTTTTAGTCTTGCTTACTCCTCATGTCTATGTGACCTGTGCTAAAAAAAAAAAAAACAGACCTGACTAATGTTGGGTAAGTGTGGTTATAGGTAGCTTAGTATTAAGATTTCAGTAGCAAAACAGAGACTTGGAAGGTTGCGTGGCCTGCTCAATCACAATTCAGTAGTTGTTCTGGTAATATGAAATCATCTCAGGAGCTGAAACTATAATTTGTGTTGCCTATCCAAATTTCATAATCCTTTTTCTAAGGATATTTTTAAAGCCTTCATACGAGTGTTTAAAGGAATAAAGTAATACAGAAAACTTATACCTCAGAACACTTCAACCAATTGAAATTTGTCTTTTTACATGTTGATTCTTTTAGCATTACTTAATAGTTTTACAAGGTCCTTATTATATACTGCTCCTCAGTTGTCTAGACCTGTCTTATCATACAAATATGAGAAAAAGTATTAGAAAAAGAGAGGAAAAAACAAATCTATGAAGATTATAATTAGAAAACTGTCACAAAAATACATGTGACAGTAAAGAAAATGTGGAATATACACACAATAAAGTTTTATTCTGCCATGAAGAATGAAATTATGTATAGAATTGGAAATCATGATGCTAAGCAAAATATGACATACTCAAATATCTATATTCCCTCTCATGTGAATCCTATATTTCACACACATACACACACATATGACTTAGAGTGTCTGGGAAAAGGAAGGTGACTATGGGAGTGGGGAGAATTTGGAGGTTATAGGGGTGAAAATACATGATATAACTGAATGAAAATGTCTTTATGAAACTTACCAGAATGAATATATGTGAACAAAAAAGTTTGAATACCTATGATCAGTAACTACATTAGATCAAATTACTCAAAAATAAAGCATTAAGGGGGAAGGCAAGTTGGCTCAGTGGATTAAGGCCCTTACTGCCAAGCCTGATGGCCTAAGTTATAGTTCCAGAACCACAACCACATAGTAGAAGGAAGTGACCAACTCCTGTAAGTGGTTCTGACCTCCACAAGCACGGCGGCACAAGTGTGTGAGGACACAGACAGGGGGGCGGGGAGAGAGAGAGAGAGAGAGAGACAGAGAGAGAGACAGAGACAGAGAGAGACAGAGAGAGACTAAGTAAATGAATAAGTACATAAATGTAGAAAAGTTTTAAAATAAACCATTAGTTCTGTAGGAAAGCTACCTAACCGAAAGTGAATATGTGGGTGTGAATTTGGGCAAATGAAAGTATTGAAAAAGCAAAGAAAGTAAATGATTGAAATCAGGAAAGGCAAGTGTGATCATCTTATTTCTTATTTCCTAGTAAACCTCAATCAGAAACACTGAAAGCAGGAGACTTGAGGACACGTATTAGCCGATGTCAAGTATGCATGAAGATGACATAACATTTATATATATATATATCCTAGGATGCAATGTCTCACTCGCTCCAACTTTACCACTGCTGCCACCAATGGTGCTACTATACTATATGACCAAGAGAGCATGCCGACTAGTAACCGTGGAGATTCATACCTCAGCAATGTGCCAGAGCAAGGCCTCCATTATTTTCCTATGAAAAAAAATGAAGTCAGCATGCTCTTTGGATCCAGAATAACTTTCTCCAACGATTATAAGATGAAGATCACATGTTTTGCCCAGTTCCAAAAGTGGCACATTAAAAATTCAACAGAATAAAAATCACACTGAGTAAAAGAAGACTGCATTTTGGGGAAGAATTCTTTTTCATGGTGCTACTGATCCCACTGTATCCCAAGTTTTTAATATAAAAGTGTTAAACTTATTTTTTTCTGTAAGTAAAGAATATATATATTGTATAAACAACCTTTCAACTCAAAATCCTGAGTCATTTAGATGTGATTT